AAGAGATTCTTCATTAAAAGGCTTTTTTGATATGCTATATCAAAGCATGAACCCTTCTTCAAAAAATTCCTCTACAGAAATAAGCCTAAAAAGAAAAGTAATGGTTCTCTGTTACCAAATAGCTAGCCTTAGAAACAAGCATGTCAGTTCAGTCAAAAATCAAATAGCTCTATATATGTCAAATACTGGTACATCTACATCAGGTATTAATACTTTAGCAAACTTGGGTATTGCATCCACCTATAAAATGGTTTCAAGAAAAAAAAATGAAATTCTTTTAAATCATGAAGATGGGGTTTTTAAATATCTTAATACAAAAATTAATTCATTAATTATATTCCTTATTGATGATTATCATGACATCCATCAATCCCAAAATCCAATTGATGAAAATCTATCAAATGTTGCTCATATGGAAACTACCATGATCTATACTCCAAATGTATTACCTTTGCCATATATATCACCATTAGATGAGCAGGTGCATAATCCCATGAATGTTGATGTTGATTTAGTTTCTTGGGCATTGCAATTTGAATATATGTCAAAGTTGGAAATCAGTTATATTTATCAAAAGTCATCATGGCTCTGTATAGCTGATTCTTCAAAATTTACAGAAGAAACAATTAATTTTTTAACAGCTCATAGTTATGATCCTGATTTCCAAATCACCCATCCAGAACACAAGAAATTAAAGTTATTAAAATATTTGATTTTATTCCTCAGGAATTAAAATCTTTGGATAATTACCTTCAAGCAATCTACCTTTTTATCAATTCACTAGTACTCAGTGATTATCAATCAGAAAATATAATACCTGTACCAGCAGATTATCCTGGAGAATATTATCATTGTAAAGCAATTACTCTTCAAAGGAGATATGGTGATTCATCAAATATTCCAGAAAAGATTTTGCATTTGGTTCCTTTATTAGGTCCTTTGCATGTCTCTCTGAGTACAAGAGAAACCACTATAAAAATGTATTATCAATTTTTTAATATTTTTTATAAAGAAGTTTTTAAAAGAGAAAAAATCTTCCAAAGAAACCTCAACCATGGATGACAGATCTTTTGCTTTACCTTGCTCACTCTAGATGGATGATCATTAGAAAAACAATTTTAAGAAAATTTAAAAATAACAAAGATATTGAGTACAGAACCTTTTTAAATCTATTTGATAATATAATACCAGCTTGTTTGGATGTTTATGCAATTTTGTTTCAGGAAGGTCATTTTGATGAATATATATCAACAATTTTTCAGTTGTGGTCTATTATGAAATATTTTGAAAGAAAAAATTATAATAAAATAATGTTAGCTTTTCTTTCTGATGTTTTATATTGGCAAAGTATAGAACACCCAATGTACAATGCATTTAATGAATATTTTGTTGAAAATTTTCATAGCTTGATCCAATGCTATACAGCTGGCAAAAATTTTAATATAGAAACTTTAAGAAAAATGCAATTAATTTGGATAGCAATAGACATAATTCAAATTTTATGGATCCATTTATAACCAAAAAAAATTACCCATTTAAAAAAAAGAGTCTTGATAATATGGTTAAGAAGTCAGTTCTATTTCTAATTGAATTTTTTCAAAAAATATTAACTAATCTAAATACATCTAAAAAAATACCAAAATTAGATGACAAAATCTATTTATTTCCAACATTCAACATAGAAATGAAGGTAGCTACATTACCAACCGGTTATTGTACCAATTATCTGCCCAGTTTTGATTCCTGCTGTGATTACAAAAATTGTGAAATAGCAGATGACTACAATGATGATAATTGCATATTAATTTGTGGTCATGAATATCATTATCGGTGTCTTCAAAATCTATAGTTTAAATGTCAACATTGTCTTGATTATTTATTGAGTGGCATTGAGTATTTATATAGTAATAGATTAGAAAGTTTAGACAATACATCCATATTAGATGAAGAAGATGAAGAGGAGGATGAAAATACTATAGATAATGAAGATAACATTAATTTGGAGGGGTCTGAAGAATTAATTTTAAAAGGGGATTTAAATCATGATCAATCTTTAAAAAACGCATTGTATGCATTTCAACAAAATTAAATAAATCTTTTCTGTGTAACATTTTGATTTTATGGAACAAATGAATTCGAATTTTACTATGATGCAGATCATCCAAATTTTAGAAATGAAATGGGACGTTTCACAGCAAAAACCACCTCTGGGGTCATCTGACCAAAATTGAGCTTTTTACATAATATTAATCTATAATATATAAATTATAATTGGTGAAAATATTAGACCCTATTTGCTTAATAAAAAAACGGGGAATTTGCAAACGGATATCTTCTTTAAAGTAATTTGCACAAAATAATAAATTGATCTGCACACCCCATTTTATTGTTACACGCAAAAATAAATTTTTTTTAAAAAATACATACATATTAATATCAATATACATTAAAATAAAAATCGATAAATATTAGGTTCTGGACAAAGAATATCTTTAAATGGGTCGGTCTTCTACATGTTGGCAAATTTTTGTAAACAAATATTTTTTTCTATCATCTGTTAATGGAACAACCTCAATAATATTTAATTGGCCATCCTTATCAAAATTATCATTCTTTAGAAGTTTAAAAGAAATTTCCAAGCCACCAGATTTTTCAGAAACATAAACTTTTCCAATATCCTTACTACTAAAGCAAAAATGATGGTATTTTTTTATATTTGGTAATTTTCTGAAATTGTCATTAAATAGTAAGCTAAAGTCATACCATTTCCATCCCATACCATTTTTATATCTAATAGATTGATTATATATTACAATTTTTTGATGAATCATTTATAGCTTCTTCAATATGATCAACAGTATTTATAACTCTATTTCTATATACTTTTTTAATTGATCCAAAAAATCCATCACATGCAAATTCTTATGTACAATATTTATACTTATAAAATTGATAAATTAATTTTATTTATAAAATTTGGGCTATTATAATTTTTAGCATTACGTAGTTCGGATGTTATAATTTCTTGTTTACTAAATTTGGGATAATCAATGATCAAAAAATTTTAGGGGGCAATTTTCTTTTTCTGTGTAACAAATTTTGAACATGTGTTTACTCAAAATAATCTATTTTTCTGAGAGGTGGTTTTTGCTGTGAAATGTCCCATATGGTGACAGTTTTGAAATTGACAAATCTATATGTGTTACATTGAGTTGTCCCCCATACCCCTAGGTATTATTAAAATTTTCCTGTTGATCTTGTCGATCATTATCTCGTTTCAACGGATGTTTCGTTTCTATTTCAACGGATTTAGGTGGTCAGTCCCATAAATCCGTTGAAACGAGGTTTGATTGTATATGTTTATTTATATATATTTATTTATTTGTAAAAATTAGAATTATACATACTTGTTTTTTTTCCTTAAATTATAAAATTGCATTGCGATGTAAAACGGGTACCATTGCATAACCTTATTTCAAGATGCGCATTGTTACATTGCGATGTATATAATTTTTTTAATTTTAAAAATATTCAATTTGAAAAAATTACAAGTTATATAATATTAATTAAAACTTAGTGGAACAAAGATTAACACTGGAAAATTATAATAATGACGATTTCAAATGATGATGGTTTTGTTGATGATAATTTTACGTATGAATCAATGAATACTTCTGATATAATTCATTTGCTTCGAGTCCTTGCTTTAGGCTCCAGTAATTGATTTACTTTGATTAAATAGTGGTTTTAAAGGAAAAGAAAAAAAGGAGGTAACATAGAACATGAATTAAAAAAATATCACGGGATTTTTTTGAATAATCTACCATTTATCAAGTAAAAAAAAATCTTTGATCAACTAATATTTGACTGAGGATTTCTATAAAGATGCAAAAAACAACTAATTCCACATCGAATATACTATTACAACCGCAGATGTTCCATTGTTTGGAGTGTATGTTGTTATTTATTTTTTTAGATAGCTGTCTAGCAAAGTGTCACGTGCGATTAATGATAGGATTTAAAACTCCCGAGTGGTAGATATCTTGTTATCTATATATAACGATGCTAAATAACGGTGATTATTTTGATTGTGATTTAGAGGTTGGAATCGACTAATTTAATCGACCAATTAGTCGACTACTAATACTACTAATACTACTAATACTAATACTAATACCAATACCAATACTAATCTTAATACTAATACTAATACTAATACTAATATTTGCTAATATTGTCGTTGTCTGACCAATTACGATTTTTGCGTTTTGTCATTCAAAATGGAAATTTTTTATCAATACCATCAATATGATGATGACGACAATAGTAATGTGTTGTTGATGATAATTTTACATGTGAATGAATAAACACTTCCAATACAAGGTCCAATATTCAAGTTTCAATGATTTAAGCGGTGGTTCTAGAATACCTTTAAAAAAACGAATCGTAACACATAGTTTTGTGTGGAAGTATTTTGAAAAAGTGAAAGATTCAAATGGGAATAAATTCGTAATTTGCAGATTAAAAAATAAAACGAAATATTATTATTATAAAAAAAAAATTTGGTCGACTAAAATAATCGACTAAATAATCAACTAAAAATAATCAACTAAAATAATCAACTAATAGTCGACTAAAGAATTTTTTGACCAATTAATAGTCGACTAAAAATTTTATGGACGATTCCAACCTCTATTGTGATTTTGTATTTTTGTTGTTTATATCCATCAATAATCCAATAATGATAATGATAATGATAATATTTTAGCGATTTGATCAAAATCAGAGTTCTTGACTTAATATAATAATCCACCCTACAACGAGTTAATTGTTCATTAGACGATCTTGTTTCTTCCAAGAAAATCGGAAACCAAATGATGGGTGAAATAAAGAAATCGAAGCTTTTGAAGGAGCAAAAGAAAACTTAAAGTTATGGTATAAAGACGACAATTTATCTTCGGCCCAATGATAATGACATTTTTTCGAAAACTGTCGAAGAAATGCGAGTTTTGATTTATCAAAGTCTACATGATCAAACCTCGTTTCAATGAATATACGTTTCACATAAGAAAGTCGCATTCAAAATTTATTACACTAGAGATTCTTACAAATTAATTATAATTCGTTGAAATGACTTTGACTATAATGGATTTGACTAAATATAATTGTTTTATTATTTTAATCTTGATTCGAGTTATTGGGAATTAAATCGTTCCGAAACACATAAACATAATAATAATGGTTTATTTTTTGACATTTTCCGTGATCTCTTTTATGATCAAAGTTATTCCGTAGATGGCATAGGTAAGTATTTATATTATAATTATATCATTGATTTATTCTTATTATTAATAATAAGTTTTTTATATCAAATTAAATCTTAGAACTCCAGAAGTCTAACAAACGTAGATCTACAGTACTTTATTTTTTTGATAAAAAAAATTTATTCGCCATATCATAGTAAAATTTGCGTAATGTATATTCTACCTTAAATTTCAATTCTTCAAAAAACTCTATAGTAAAAGGTATTATTTCTACACATGAAGTCGAAATGAAACTATTTCAACTTTTCGATAAAATCCGAAATAATTTGGATAGTTGAAATATATTTTATTGGTCATGAATAATTTCAACTTTTGTTGTGGATAATAAAATTGTAATATTAGCATTAACCGTCGAGACAATCAAACCTCCCGGATTGCTAATGGGTTAATAAATAATATAATATAGTTTTTCGTGAGCCTCTCTAAAACTTATTTACCAATAAATAATAACTATGTGGAAGTTTAAAGCATTCCACACCTTGTCTGTTACTACCAAGTCTTTTAAAGCGATATTGAGAAATAATATGGAGTTTGAAGTGAAAAGGCAACACCATTTTTGAATAGCCGTGGATAAGATCTTTTAATATGAAAAGGAATTCATTTATTTTACTCTTAACGACGAATTTTGAATTTATAAAAAAACTTCATATGACGCGAATTTCAAATTTATTTTCACATATGAAGAAAGTCAACGGAATATGTCGTACGACTAGTAAGGTAATAGTAATAGATGAAAAAAAAGTTATCCGAATTCATCAGTTCTAGATTTTAGAGCAATAGATGAAAAAAAGTATGTCCGAACTTGTTTGTTTCATGATTGATTAGGGAACCTTTATATAAGAGTAACCTGTACTTTTTATAACAAATATAACAAATTTATACAAATTTGGGGGGGGGTAAATTTTTCTTAACAGAGAATATTTGTTATAATAAATAAAGAGGGCAATGAAAATTCAATGAAAATTTAATTTAAAAAACCATCCGATAATCTAATACTAATAGCAATAATGTAATAATATGTACTATTTTTACTGGTTTCGTTTACATAAATCATTACAATTAGTTGATCAAGGAACAATTTTCAGGATCGAATTTGATTAAGATATTTTGTGAAGGTGACCAAGAAAAAGAGTTTCAGACTGGTAATATCATACAGACTGTACGGCGGTTCGCTTTATAGCGATCTCAACAACCGAGATTTGTTTTGATTTTTTTATAATGTTAAATTTCTCTCATTTGCTTTTTAGCTAACATTAATACAATTGACCAATGTTTTTTTGTTGATAATAATGATGATGATACCGTTAATAATAAAGATTATAACGACGACAATAATAATAACAACAACGATAATGACAATGACATCGACAACGACAATAATAGCAACAGCAACTGCATCAATGGTAGCAGTAATAGTAATGGTGATCGTATTGATGATAATAATGTTGGTGTTAGTACTGGTGACCATGAGAAACTACCACAAGCCCTCAGTCTATTGTATCCACTGACACACACATTAGCGAGGATAATAAATTAGGATGTGTCTGATGAAAAGGACCTAGAATGAAGTTACCAAAGCAAACAATCTCGAAACAAATATATTAACATTATATCATATCAACTTTAGGTATCTATGAATGTTGACCTTACCTCATATAACCATATCTATTGGTGAGAATATATTTGCCAAGGGCAAGCATGTATAGCATTGAG